TATTTTATTTACAGAAAACTTGAATAAAGGGGAATAAATCAATGCTCATATTGACCGACAAATGATGCGCAAGTGATACGGGGTGTATTTATTTTGTTGTACGAGTGATACAAACTCAAAAGGGAAAATAGGCAATCGAAGATCCTTCTTAAGGTTTTGAAAATTTTTTTAAACCTTCTAGTGATGATTTCTAATAACTACTAGATCAAATTCGGTAAATTTTTTTATTTGATTCTGTGCGTTTGTAGAATTTAAATAAGAATTGTTGAAAATCATTAATCAATTTTTTTTATAATCAGCGATAGCGTAGGATGAACCTAGCGTTCCCCTAAAAAAAGTTACATATCTGAGCTTTAAATTTTGCTTATTATTTTGGCACCCAAAAAATGTGTACCGGGTTGGGTTCGGATGATGGTCCGGAAAATGTCTTCGAAATTTTTACTTTTATTTTTGTTCTTTTTACTTTATTTTTCAATTATAACTTAACAATAATATAAAGCAATATTTAATGCAGTTTACAACGCATACATAACATATAAGAATAATACAAATAAACTTAATTCCGACATTATAATAGTTTATTTCTTTTAACCATTTGGCGACGTTCGATAAATTATGTACTCTTTTTTGCAGTTAATTTTTTACGCCCTTTATTTCAGACGGATCGATATTTTTTTGATTTTCGTTGATTGTGATGAAATTTGGTGAAACAGATAAGACGCTAGCTTGTCTATTGATAGAGATTCAGGTTTTTTTTGTATCTTTCTTAAATAATCAATGGCAGCAAGAAGTTGGCTATTATCTTAACGTTACTGATGACGAAAAAAATTTTCAATAGATATTATATGCTTATTAGGTCTTCGTTGCTATAGTTATTAAATAACTTCTGAATAATTATTAATTATTAATTTTAAAAAATTAAAATACCAACCAAATTTAAATATCTTTTTTAGGCGGTCAAACATTGCTTATTTTCACATTTGGCTTAACTTATGACTCAAAAGCGACGAAAGTATTTGATGAAGTGACATAGGTATATTTGATATATTCTATGGTTTGTTTACCTAAGTCCTAATTTGATGGTTTCTTGCTTGTAATTAATGAAATAAAGTTTATAATATTAAAATACATGCTTATAAAAGTTTACATCATTTTTTGTTTCTTTTTTTTTTTTGCAAGAAAAAAACAACAAAAAAAAATATTATTGACCTATTATATAATTTAAATAATGATAAACCAATAAGCAATTTTATTTATTAACAAAATGACATCATATGTACATATATAATTTTTTGTTTCTAGTTCTGACTTTTTAAACCATTGTCATATTTAAAATTCTCCTCAATAGGTCACTTGATGTCACAGTCATGTATGCTCATAAATGTGTATGATCTGCATGATAAGGTAAGGATAAACAAAACATAATTAGAATTAAGTGGTTCTTCCTAATGTAAAGGATTTGTTAGATAAAATTAGAACACACCAACAAAAGGATAAAGCTTTAAAGGTTATTCCACGGCATTGCTAATCTCATTAAGAATGTTAGGGTAAGTGTGTTACAGAAATGGAGCCAGAGGATTTAAATAGGTATCTCCCATAGTTGGGTGCAGGTACGGCAGCTAGTGTGGAACCTAGGGCTGACTACTTAAATAGGCAACCAAAAGTTGCATGTATGGCTAGTTGTACTCTCGTTAGTTAAAATAATCAGAGAGCTTAAATAGGTAATCTCCTAGTTAGGTTGCAGGTATAGCGGCTAGTGTAGTATCCAGGCGGACTACTTAAATTAGGTACCAAAAGTACACGTGTGGCTAGTTGTATCCTCGCGAAATTGATGTAATATTGTAATTACCTGAATAAAGCTAAGTGCCAGGGATCTAAGTGATCACCTTAATATTAAAAAAAAAAAAAAATTAATATACTATATTTTTTTATATTTTTTAACAAAGTTAACAAGAATTAAATTATATATATATATTAATTATTCTTTTTCTTTATAGTTTTATCATTGTAGCTATATACTATTAGTCTATCTAATACTTTTTTATTACTATAGTATATACTTGTTCTTTGCTTCATATTAGATTATGATATAAAATACTAAAATTTATAATAAATTATTTATTAAGATGTTTCATAATCAAATATATTGTTATCTATAATCTCAAATTAACTACTGTATACTATTACATAATATTGCAAGTTTTAAGTATATATTTATTAAAATTGTTACTATATATATTGGCCTAAAAGTAAATATAGTATTGGACTGCTAAAAGATGTGAATATTATACTGTAATAGTTGTTTATATTTAGTACAAGCATATTACCCAACTGCTAAAAAAGTACATTATTTATATATTTTTTATATGCTTTTAATATTTTTTTCTTATACAGATTTACTGCATGTAATATTGTAATAATACTAAGATTTATTATCATATTTAAGCTTTCTTTAGTTATATTTACTAAATCTAAATAATACATAAAATTAAACTTAAAAAAATTAACTTTAGTATTGTTTAAAAAAGTAAGTAAATAACAAATAAACACTATTATTCTTTTTATATAGTTTATTATTTGTTTGATATATATAAATAGCCTAGTTGCTAAATAAAGTTGCTTAAGAAAACATTTAATATTAGATTTATTTTTTACTAGTAATTCTTTAAATATATAAATTGTATTTTTTTTTTTTTATATATACTCTTTTTTATAAAAAAATTCTGCTAGCAACCTAATAACTTCAAAGAGCTTAATTTTTTCATTAGAAATACTTGCTTTTTTTTTTTTTTTTTTTTTAATATTAAGGTGACCTCTATGGTCAGAAATATTTTATTAGGTTATTAATTTCAGGTTACAATTACAACAAGAGTACATCAAGCCACACATGTACTTTTGATATCTAATTTAAGTAGTCTGCCTGGGTTCTACACTAGCTGCCATACCTGCAATCTAACTAGGAGATTACCTATTTAAGCTCTCTGGTTATTTCTAACAAGAGTACAACTAGCCATATATGCAAATTTTGGTTGCTTATTTAAGTAGTCTGCCCTAGGTTCTACACTAGCTACCGTACCTGCATCCTAACTATAGGGATACTCATTTAAACCTTCTGGTTACAACCGCTGTTTATTTCTAATCTAATTCAAGTATAACTCACTATTCATATAAATTTTGCAATATCTTTAGATTTTGCACCCATCTTAGGACTTCATAACCATTTTTGGCTAATTTTTATCTACGAGGTAAACTTAACAGAGTAGTCTATATCGCACACATGTTTTTACTTGCATGTTCGGTAACTTCTTTTTAACTAGTACCTGTTGTGCTATTGTTATTAGGTTCATATCTCAAGCTATTCTTTAGAATACTGCTGTAATTCGATCTGTATCTCAAGCCACAACCTTTCTAGTTAGTTTTCCATTATATACTCCTTGCCTTTGTAAGGTTCACACAACCCTAGTACCCACATTCAGATTTTTTTTCTTTCCCGAATTCTTTACCAGTCTTTCTCTTACTTCTAGCTAGCAACTCGGAAATACTGGGCTGCCCAGGCTTTATGTCTTTATGGTCTCTCTCCTCTTAGTACATGTTCTAGAGTATATATTCTTTTCCTTCAGTTGGTGACTTGGCAGTTCAGCTAGTATATCTCCTACTAAAGAACCTAATTGCTTGGTTCTCCGATCTTAGTCTCCGGTTCTAAATTCAGTCTTCCTGTAGCACCATCAAAGGTCATGCTACCTTCCAACTCAGAACTTGCCAAATGGGTTTTCAGTAATTCTAGTTTCCTGAATTTATTGCACCAAAGCTTTCATTCAAGATGGTGTGACCAATATTACAGATATCTGGATCCAACTGATAATCTTAATATTAACCAATACAAATTTAGTTTTTTCAAAATCATTATCTGTAGGATTTGAACTCTAGACCTGCCATCTGGGGTGTGACAACTACACCACTTTACTAAGTTACCACACCCTAGAAATACTTGCTTTTTTACTTTAATCTATATCTTTTACTTAGAGATTTGATTTAATAAACAGTATATTTAAATATTTACTAAATATTCAAATATTCAAATAAGATTTTTTTTACCAAATTGAATATTTGAATATTTAATTTATTTACTAAATAATTTATTAAATATTTATTAAATATATATATAATTAAAAATTATTTAATTAATTAACTATAAAATTATTCAATTAGAAATTTGCAACTCTTCCTGACGATCACTGTGACCAAAGTTAGAGCAGAACCAAAACACAGCAAAAATCACTATGGGACTAGATAAACGTGCAGTGAGCAATTAGAAAAGAATAGTAGTTATTGTGAGAGGAAGTTATTCTCTTAAGACACTAGACCGCAATAGAAAATAAATAGGCTAGTTACTTTGAAGAAACATTTTTTGGCAAAGAAATTTTGGAATAAAACAGAAAATTGGCTAGACCCCAAATGCAGATCTCTACTTGTGACATGTAAACAAACAATGTGACAAGTATACGAATTAGGATATCTAAAGTAAACAAATCAACAAAGAAGCGGACATGTAAACAAGCAAATCAAGAATAGAAGTCTAGATTGGTATGCAAGAACCAGTAACACAGAATGGCTCAGAGATATCGGAAATGTCGAAGAGTTATGCAAAGCTTGAGAAATACCGAGACATGTACAAAAGATTGGTAAATGAGCAGAATTTGATAGTAGAAAGTCATAGGTCAGTCATTTTGAGAAAAGACAAAGAAATTGCAGCACTTATTAGTACAGAACCAGAAACAGTGTGCGTGTTCTGAAATATAATTGAGCTTTATAGCTATTGTGAGTACCTGTGGGCAAGAGAAGAAGAACTAGTAAGTCAAGATAAAAGTACAGCTTCTGCGGTAAAGAAACAGGACATTAAAAGTTTAATAGACCATGAAGTTGGATGTGTTGACTATAGTATTAAAGAGATTCAGTTCAACAAGAAGTCTGGTTGTATAGTGAAAGAAGATAGTAGGCAAATGAATAAGCTTGAAAAAGTAGTTGTAGTAGTTCCAGAGAAGAGTAAGCGACAAGATAAAGATTACAGTGAAAATAAGGGTAAAAGGGCCAAACTAGACCATGTTAGTGTGGCAAAAGCTTTAAAAGCCATGAAGAAATAGTAGTTAATAAACAAGAGCTAGTAGTTCCAAAAGAAAGTGTATTTAGAGGACCAAGTACTATAGATGGGAAGATGCAAGTTAACATGCACCAAGATACAGTGGTTGTAAAATTGATGCATGTATCAGAAGTACTGGCTAAATTAGAAGTTAGTAAAGAAAATGGTAGATCAATGAATAGTAGGTCAGCAGAGTATCACGTGAATCTGGCACAATCTGAGTCCTATACAATATGGGATATACCTCTCAACGCACATCTGGCACAAGTACGCAGATGTCTCTATTTCTATGGTAAACCAAAATTCGTACAATGGAAACTATTCGGAAGCACTTGAATTCTCAATTAAGTTTTGGAGTGAAAGGAGAATGAGAGTGTTTAAGAAGGCATGAACAATTTATTTTGAGGAAGGGAAAACATGCAGAGTAACACCGGGCAGTTTTGAAAGAGGAGTACTTGAAGAAAGAGCGTCCTTTAAAGCAGTAATTAAGAATGTTCTAACAACAGCGGTCAAGGTGCTGCTCATGCGTCAGTTGAAGGTAATAAATGCAAAGGCAGTATACATCTCACATAATAAAAATCAAAATCAACAATGTGCAGCAACAGTGTATTTTGGTTCACATGAAGAATTAGAGATAGCATTAGTAAGGAAGGTGTATTATCTTGACGTTAAGCTGGAGTGGATTAATATACAGAATAAAAGTAGAAGAGATATAGTTAAAGAAGAGACAAATAATAGGGGAGTCGAGTCTCAAGTTGCTGAGGCAGCAATGAGTAAAGGTAGAAAATGGAAGAAACAGCAACCAGCAGAAAGGGTGTTTACAAGCAGTGCTGTGAGCAACAAAGAAAACAGTAATTCCAAGGTTGAAGGACCGACATCAAAGCCAAAAAAAAAACAAGTCCAAGACCTAAACGAAGAGGTTAAGCTCAAGTTCTAATTTAAAAGTATCTTTGATGAAATACTTGGTAGGCTTGACAGAATCGAGAAAAGTCACTTAGAGGCTTCAGGCCCCAATCACTCCTAGAGTTGCTATGGGCATGTTCAAATGAACTGAGGGGCTACAAGACAATTTGAATGCCCGGCAAGGTAGTACTCTCAGTAGTAGTATGGGCAATAGAGGTGCAGTGACAGAAAAGTTGAAGGAGTGTCAGGCCAACATGGTATGCCACAACATTAATGGTATAAGAGGCAACAAAATTAAATTGAAGGCAATTGCAGAGTGGGCATGTGAAAACGAGATTGAT